TCAGGCTGGCCTTGAGCTCACTTTGTAGCCCAGGCTGGTCTCGAACTTGCAATGATCCTCCTGCCTCAGCCTCCCAAGTGCTGGGATTACAGGCGTGCGCCACCACGCCCGGCTCTCACCATTCTACTTCATGTTTCTACAGCTACTCTAGAAACTTTATGTAACTGGAATAGTGAACATTTGTCTTTTTGTATCAGTCTTATTTCACTCAGCTAAATCAGCATCCTGGTAATACAATAGCTGCAGTCTAATTTGCATGCTATTCTCCGTGCTATATTTTGGAACAAATGTCTAGCTTTGTACTTGATACTCTTTCCATGTAATGCTTAAGGATACTTCACTCTAGCAAATTACAAACTCAGTCCAGTGGTAGACAATTTAGTCTAGCACTGTCCCCTATAAAGAGCTATTATTGGTCTTCTGTGTCTTTAGATTGTGAGTTATTTTCATCCCACTATTCATGGATTTTAGATCCTTTGCAAAATTCCACGAAAGTCTCTTAACGACAGTGAACAATAATCAATAGAACTCAAGCCGGAATCCAACTTACTGGACCACCCAGGAGACGGGAAGTTAATTTGGGATGCTGATATGGCAGCTTTCTCTTTTGATACAAGGTAATTTCTCTGAGATACAGCTTAATCTGCTTTAAATTAAGAAAATTAAAACCTAACAAAACTCTTTTCCTTAATTGGGGGAAAAATTTGGAAGTCTCCGGGGGACGGAAGTTGGGAAGCCGCTCCTTCACCTTTGCCCTGCAGCACCCCTATCTCATTAGGGCTTTGCCAACAACTGGAGTAACCGTGGACTGGACACTAACCCTGTAGAGGGCTCAGTAGGTTGGAGCGGCCTAGCCCGTGTTTAAGATCTTGTCCACATCACACACACAGGGACAGAGCCGGGCCACGGCCGGGGCAGCGAGGTACATCGCGGGGGCGGCACAGCGAGCGCAGAACAGCCGGCCACCCACAAGAAGCTCTCCATTTGCGCAGGTTCCTTCGGGAGGAAACTCCGCGGCGCTCGCGGAGGATGAGCTGCAGTTCTGGCAGTTTCTAAAGTCAGCCGCCTTTTCGTTCTCCTAGTAAAGTCCGTCCTTAGTTACTGAAAAGGGAGCAGGGCCATAAGGAACGCAAAGGCGCACAAAAAAACGATAGCACCGGCCCAGCGTGCCCTTAAACTTACGTCTCTTCCCGGCAGGCTCCGGGAGTCACCGCGAGACTTTAAGTCTCGCGAGATTTATCGGCAGCCATCTTCTTGGGGGTGCTGGGAGCCGGGGAGACCCCCCGAACCGTTCCCATTGAGCTGCCCTTCGTCTTTATTTTCTTCACTTTTGCCTCGTCGGCGTTGCCAACAAACACCTAGACCCGAAGCTGAGAGAAATCTGGGGTCTAAGCGCGGCTCGCGCTCCCGGCTCGGGAAGACCCGCTGGGGAGGAGGGGAGGGAGGGCCCGGGCTAACCGTCGCTGCCCGAGCCCGGGCCGGGGTCCGGGAGGGGGAGCTGCCGCCGCCCGGGGACTCGTGGCCTGCGGCGGGCCC